AGCCTTCAAACCCCTAGTGCATAATTTCCTCATCACCACCAGTAACAGAAACATTGCAAATCCCATCTACATGCATAGGAGCCAAAATGATCAATAAATTGATCGTGGGCCCTTAAAATATAGAAGAAGAAGAAGAAGAAATGTAATAAAATGTTCTTCCTACAGTTTTGTGTTATTAAAATTACATGAGCAAAAATTAAAACGTAGGTATAAATTTATTTATATTATAGTTCATTTTTGGTTGGGGGGGGGGGTGGTGGGTGGGGCAATCGAAAGTTTGACAATTGTTGACAAGGAGGGGGGGGCGTGGAAAATTCCGGGAAATTTGTTGACGTTATTTATGGGCTTAATGGGGCCATTTAAAAATTTGGGCGTAGGGGACGCGTTCTATAATATTTAGAATTTTGGACACCTTGTGCAAAATGAGAAAAAGAGGTCTACTGTCAACGTCAACACATATATTAAACAATTATCTTCAAACTGACATCAACAATGATACTGTAAACAGAAATAGACTACATAAAATTCGTTAATTTGAAAGTTTCACAAATTTAAAAAAAATATAATTTGATCCTAAGTTTTGGATTGTGTCTCACAATTACGTGATAAAGTACACACCGTCCTTTCCTTTCCACCAACCATCTGCCAAATGGTAACACATTAAAATTTGACACACAAGCTAGTCTTGAAAAATTGGGAATTCCCGAAGAATATTGCCTATTTCAAACCTCAATACTGAAATCCCCGAGTGTGTAGTGTGTAGTTTTGTTTCAATGTCAAGGAATGTAGGCCAGCAGTCAACAGAATGATGACACAAGCGACACAACACATCCAAATCTTAATTTACGAGGCCCACAAAATATATTTTATGAGTTTTCACAAACTTAATCATACGGATTTGATACAGATACTAGAAACCAAGCGGTATGTAGCAAAGTGTAACATATTCATGTGTTTATAACGGCAGAAATTCACATCTGCTCTATTCAACTGAACTGTTATCGACTGGTACACACTGCAACACACGTAGCTGTGCTTCGTTCAGTCTTATTGTTAGAAACCTGAAGAAGGCCTATGATCATGACTGGATTTTAATCTATAATGTGTAGAGTGGTTTGTATTGGCTGTTGTCGTGTGATTAAGACTTGTGTGATGTGGTGTGATTAAGACTTGTGAGATATGGTGTGATTAAGACTTGTGTGATGTGGTGTGATTAAGACAAGACTTGTGTGATGTGGTGTGTTTAAGTCCGGTTTCCACCAGCCACCAGAGATGTCAAATCAACACAGAGGTTTCTCATTCAATTTCAACACTTCCGTGCCTCGCCCACCACTTTAGTGTGTTTTTTTGGTGTGTGTGATTTATTCTGCTGTAATGTGTTGTGTGTTAGTCTGGCGTGGTGTAATTAGGGTTCGTGTGATTTAGTCTGGTGTGATGTGAGTATATCTGATGGGGTGCGATGTACTTTAGTCTGGTGTGATTAAGGCTGGTGTGATGTGACTTAGTCTAATGTTGTTCGGTGTGATTTAGTCTGTTGTGGTGTAGTCTGGTGTGATGTGACTTAGTCTAATGTTGTTCGGTGTGATTTAGTCTGTTGTGGTGTAGTCTGGTGTGATATTGCGCGGTGTGATTTAGTCTTGCGTGTTTTGATGTTATTTAATATTGTATGATTATGTGACTTAATCTGGTGGCTCTTTTGGGCTCTGTCTTTAAGGTCCGCAGATTTTTCTGTGCAATGTTTCGTTTGGTCTTCCTCGGTTTTAAATAATTTAATTTCTTTTTTTTTTTTTTCCTGTGGTCTTGATTTAAGACATTAAAAAAAAGATTTTTAAAACGTTCTCTGTAGATGTTTAATTTAATTCTACAATTGGGTATTTGCGGTTAGAGTATTTTAAAATTATTATTATGTGACTTAATCTGGTGGCTCTTTTGGGCTCTGTCTTTAAGGTCCGCAGATTTTTCTGTGCAATGTTTCGTTTGGTCTTCCTCGGTTTTAAATAATTTAATTTCTTTTTTTTTTTTTTTTTACCTGTGGTCATGAATTAAGACATTAAAAAAAAGATTTTTAAAACGTTCTCTGTAGATGTTTAATTTAATGCTACAAATGGGTATTTGCGGTTAGAGTATTTTAAAATTATAATGTTTAGAGAGTATACCAATAAAGTGCCCTTATTTTCACATTCATTTCAGAATATTCAGATGATAGATGAGTATCCGACACGGGCCGATACATTCTGGAAGATGCCAAGATAAATGTATCACAGGGACTGTTTAAATTCTAGATGATGGCCATATGAAACTTTCATAAGGGCTGGTGAACTCTAAATGATTGCCTTATAGATCTATCACATTTCCTGGCAATGATGAGGCCCAGGTGGTGTGTGGACTTAGTGTAATTAAGAAAACAAAAGAAAAGGAACCGATGTCGAACTTTGACGCATCAACATTTGCGCACCAGCGAGTTAATGGTGTCATGGAACTTTTCCAAATTTTAGCCGGGTCAGTGGGTGATCAGTACTCAGGGAATGCTGACGCGGCACTACTAGCCGCGTGTCGGGCTGGGAACACCTTGATCGTCGAGGGGCTGCTCCAGCTTGGTTCAAACGTGGACGCGAGAGACGAAGGTGGGAGCACCCCACTGATGATCTGCACGGAGCTCGCCCTGACGGACGTGGCTCGTGTCCTAATCGCGCACGGCGCCGACATCAACGCCGTCAACTCCAATGGAGAAACCGCTCTCATCTTGTCCGTTTACAGTGATGCAACCGACGTGACGAAACTGTTGCTGGAACATCCAGACATTGAGATGGAGCAGCAAAACAACGATGGGTACACAGCACTCATGTGCGCCATAGAGTGTCTCAACTGGGGCGCGATATTTGTTCTTTTTGACGCAGGTGCTTGTTTCGGTGGAGATATGTTCACGCCGACGAATTCCCCACCGACTCCAGGTCCTTTTGTCAACACGGGGGCCTTAGCTGAACAGATTGCGAAAGCCAATGGTTCGCTAGAAGTTCTGCAAATGCTAAAAAGTTGTACGCTGAATGGCATCCAACCCTTGGAACGAGCTGTGTTAAACAGAGATCTCAAATCAACACAGCTGCTCATTCAACACTACGTTCCCTCTCCGACCACTCCATCAATCTGTGCAATGATTTTAAAACTACTTAATTGCATACAGGAGAGCGTGTCGGCGCTAAGTAACATTGATGTGGAGATCATCAACATTCTTTTAGATAAACTTGACAACGCTGACGGAGATCGACTAGAAAAGCAAAAAGTTCTTGAACTTGCCACAGGTATGGGTAACTACGACCTGGTTCAATTATTATGTCAACGAGGTTTCTTTGGATCCGACAGGGCCCTGGGGTTAGCAGCGGCCAAGGGAAGATGTGACATTCTTCAGTTGCTGCTGGAAGTCCCAGCGGACACCAACCTTCTGGACAGCAGCAGTGAGCTTGCGTATACTGGCTCTGCTCTCCAGCTTGCCATTGTAAACGAAAAATTTGACTGTGCAAAAATTTTGATTTCACGTGGTGCTAAAATTAACATACTTGAAGGACTCACAGATGCCTTACATCGTGGTTCTGAAGAAGTTCTTCAGTTTTTGATTGACCAGTATCCATGTCTGATGAAAGAGAATTTCAACAGCTCTAATGGCTTCCATGTTGCTGTGAAAAGGAGCGACCGCAGAATAATCAACTTAATGCTAGATCATGGCGCCGACGTCAATCTGATCATTCAAGGAAAAACTGCGCTCATGAATGCAGTAGACCCGATCGTTGTAGATTTGTTGCTTGAGAGGGGAGCCGATGTCAACCAGCAGGTTAACTCCTCGGTTTGCGGGTCAGCTTTACATTACTCACTGTCCAGTGAATACAGGACACAGCTGGACGATTCAACCATCGAAGACGTCATCAGAAAACTGGTGGAGAACGGAGCGAATTGTAACCTTAAAAATATTCTTGGACAGTCTCCGCTAAATCTGGCTGCTCAAAGGCCAAGGTCATCTCGGATCATCAGATTACTCGTTCATTCTGGTGCTGATCTAAACGAGCGCGATTTTTTAGGCCAAACAATGCTGCACATTGCAGTTGAAAACGTCGAGATTGAAAATGTGCAGGCGCTCTTAGATGCCGGGGCAGACGTTAACATGACCGACGATTTGGGTCGGTGCGCTCTCTTCGGAACCGCAAACATGGCGGCCATTTGTTGCTTGCTGGGCAGGGGAGCTAATGTCAACTCACGAGATGGAGAGGGTAATACCATCTTGATGCACGTTTTAAATCACGAGGGTTGGTATTTCTGTGATATCGGGGTGCTCATCGATGCTGGTTGTGATGTGAATTCTAGAAATCAGAAATCAAGGACAGCCCTTATGATCGCGGCTGATTCATGCAACGTAGAAGCACTCAAACTTCTGCTGGAGGCTGGGGCTGACGTCAATGCCGTCACGGAAGGACCTAAGAAGAAAACGCCGCTCAAAATGTGTTTGAGGAATCTGTGGGAAGACAACGAGGAAGCCGCCACTACTTGCTGTGAAATTCTCCTTGAGCACAAGGCCAGCGTTGAGGAATTTGACCCGTCTGTCGTGCATCAGCTTGTCGCCAAAGGTCTTAATAGGCTTGTTGAACAATTCATCCACGCTGGACTGGGGCCCTCCGACGTGAGAATTGAACGTAAGATACAAGGCTGGTTTAAAGGGACAGCAAAACTGTCACCGCTGTGTGTAGCGCTGCTAACATATAACACGGCCCTGGCTCGGTATTTCTTCCGCATAAATTTTTTAACCAAGTCAGACCTCACCATCATCTCCAAAAAACAGAATGTGCTCAAATATCTACAATCCCATTTTAATTTGGATTGCATGAAATTTCTCGAGGATGTCTGCCAGAAGCCGTTATCTCTCCAGACTCTTTGCGTCATTGGTGTCTCTTCAGCCATTGGTTTGGGGCGTGGGAGAGAAGAGAGAGTCAGCAGGACGGGACTGCCGACTCCTATTCAAGATGCTTTATTGTTCAGGCGCGAGTCTGTGATTGGCGAGTCGACTGGCAGCCCCGGTAACAGTGGAAGCTACATGTTCACGCAGTACATGAACGCGCAGTATGTGCGCATGTCCTTGCTCTGTTCCCTGCAAAAAGCTGAGCGGATTCGAGGGATCCTGTCACCAAGTGACAGCTCTGAAGATGAGAACAGTGATTAACATTGCTCGATAGATCTACACTGACAGAGATAGGCATGTCAAAAATGTTTTTTTTAAAAAACACCCGTCCGGGTACCCGTTGGTCCACCTAGCCGGGGTAACCGGGTCCCCGTTGGTCCACCTAGCCGGGGTAACCGGGTCCCCGTTGGTCCACCTAGCCGGGGTAACCGGGTCCCCGTTGGTCCACCTAGCCGGGGTAACCGGGGTACCCAACGGAGCAGAAATATTTTTAGGAAATTTAGAGTGTCATGAGAGTGATAAGTTGTTGGAGAAAAAAACAACTAAACTGTGTGCTTGTTACAACTGTGTGTATGTTACAACTAAACTGTGTATGTTACAACCGTGTGTATGCTACAACCGTGTGTATGCTACAACTGTGTGTATGTTACAACTAAACTGTGTATGTTACAACCGTGTGTATGTTACAACTGTGTGTATGCTACAACTGTGTGTATGCTACAACTGTGTGTGTGCTACAACTGTGTGTATGTTACAACTAAACTGTGTATGTTACAACCGTGTGTATGTTACAACCGTGTGTATGTTACAACTAAACTGTGTATGTTACAACTTTAAGCTTTACTCATTTGATATGAAGCAGTTCTTCACTATAAATTGTCATAATAAATTATTTTAAATTACATTAGAAGTTAAAAGGTTTTCTTTCGAATAATTATTTTAATTAAATATACTCTACTAGAGTATGAAGAACATGCATCGTGTGCAAGACCAACACATGCTAGATATAAGACCAACACATGCTAGATATAAGACCAACACATGCTAGATATAAGACCGTCATGTGCTAGATATAAGACCAACACATGCTAGATATAAGACCGTCATGTACTAGATATAAGACCAAAATATGCTAGACATTAGACCCTCATATACTAGATGTAAGTAAAAGACCAAAATGTGCTGGATATAAGACCAAGATGTGCTAGATATAAGAAAATATGTGTTTGATATAGAACAACACGTTCCAGATATAAGACCAATACTAGCTAGATATAGGACGCACCCTATTAAAACGAACTTGGATTGGAAGTGAAACAGTACAATAAATTTTTCTGTTTATTTCTTTATTGAAATCATTGTGACTGACGCCATCGACGGAAAGCTCTCGGCTAGAATGCATTCTTTTCTAATTTTAAATAACAATGGGAGAGAGAGAGAAATTTTAGGATGCGCTGAGAGGCAGTCGGACACATCCTTCATGACTGACGATTTTGGGTATGAGGTCTCTACCACCGTATAACGCAATTAGTCGTAGCCGTAGGGAATGAGTAGATTCATTTATTTCTTGTTGTTTAAAATATAAGAATTTTTAGTTGAAATGTTATTGTATTTTATGATTTATATTTTTTTAATTTTTTTTAAATCGGGCACCAGAGCGATGACCGGGTTAGTTTGCTTCGGTCGGGTGCCCAGGTACCGGTTCACAGCCCTAGACAAAGACAATAGTCAGTTAGCTTGTTTACTGTTCATAAAAAAAAAAAAAAAATTTTTTTTGAAAATATAACCACCTTTTCATTCCTTAGATATCTCTGCAGATTTACTTATAAAAGGCGCAATAGGTCACATGAAAACATGACTTCTTGTGAATGAGCGTAGAATGTGTGCACAGTTTGCTCAAATTATATATAGCTCAAAAAAATTGCCTTGTTTTAATTAGCATCACTAGCAAAAGTGGACACTGACTAAATTGTGCCTCCCGTCCCCACATCCACACCATCACCCACATCTTCACTCACACCCTATCCACATCAGTCATGTTTGCAACCGTTTCAAAGCTAAGGATGTAGTTTGTTAACTTGATCATGCATCTTTCGATTCACCTTTTGCAGTCAGTAAAAAAACAAAACAAAAAACTACTAATTATTTTTTTTTTAAATGTCTTTGTCTTATTCATAGCATCGAAATTACTCAAAGTGTGCTGCAATGGGACGCTAATTATAGCTTAAAAAATCTCCAACGTTTGATACTTTGCCTTAAACTACTTTGCAGAAGGCAGTTCCAGTGTTCAATATTGTTCTGAATGAATAAAGATGTGTTCAGTTTTATGACGGTGTCCTATTCATGTCATTTCCTTTGTACGATCATGTGGTGGAGTGTAGTGGCCAAGTGGCCTGGGACTGGAGTTGCCAAAGTGGCCTTGGACTGTATGGCCAAGTGGCCTGGGGCTGGAGTAGCCAAAGTGGCCCGGGACAAAAAAGCAAAAACAGCGAAAGCAGCCCGGTCCGACTTTTATGGTCGTGGTGGTGGAGGGCTGTTTGATTTCCGCTAAGTTCACAGATAACCCTACAATGAGGCAATCACAAAACCAACCATAAAATGGAAACTTAATTTCTTGTTGTACCAAAAGATTGAGACTACATTTAGAGTTATAACGCGATATTTCCCTACCAAAGCCTGGAGCACACGGGAAATCTAGCATAACCTTTCAGTGATAATAGTTGTTTTAATTCCTCTGTTAAGCATCACCGATTCGTGCTCTTGTGGTCGTGACAACTGTAGACGTTCAAATCGATTGTTGTGTCAAGTCTCATTAGATAATTGGTATTAATTGGAATTATTATTTTTTTTTAAATTTGTATCTTGTTTTTGTTCTTCATCGTAAGAGAGACATTTTATAATTGGATCATTATATTCATCTAAAGTTCCAATCGTACCATCTTCAAGTTGTTAAACAGAACAATACAGTCGTTCTTATTGTATGCTGTTTTAAATAAAATCACGTACCGGGTATTGATGTCTTAACTTTTACTAGATGTGCTGTCCTTTAAACAAGAAACAATACCTGTCGGCCTTGAAACGAGACACGTTACCTGTTGGCCTTTAAACAAGACACCCTACCTATCGGCCTTTAAACAAGAAACCCTACCTATCGGCCTTTAAACAAGCCACCCTACCTGTTGGCCTATAAAGGGTACACCCTACCTTAAGCCTTCAAACAGTACACCCTACCTGTCCGCCTTGAAACAAGACACGCTGCCTGTCGGCCTTTAAACAAGAAACCCTACCTATCGGCCTTTAAACAAGCCACCCTACCTGTTGGCCTATAAAGGGTACACCCTACCTTAAGCCTTCAAACAGTACACCCTACCTGCCGGCCTTAAAACAAGACACCCTAGCTGTCGGCCTTTAAACAAGACACCCTACCTGCCGGCCTTAAAACAAGACACCCTACCTGTCGGCCTTTAAACAAGACACCCTACCTGTCGGCCTTTAAACAAGACACCCTACCTGTCGGCCTTTAAACAAGACACCCTACCTGTCGGCCGTTAAAAAAGACACCCTACCTGTCGGCCTTTAAACAAGACACCCTACCTGTCGGCCTTTAAACAAGACACCCTACCTGTCGGCCTTTAAACAAGACACCCTACCTGTCGGCCTTTAAACAAGACACCCTACCTGTCGGCCTTTAAACAAGACACCCTACCTGTCGGCCTTAAAACAAGACACCCTGCTTGTCGGCCTTTAAACAAGACACCCTACCTGTCGGCCTTTAAACAAGACACCCTACCTGTCGGCCTTAAAACAAGACACGCTACTTGTCGGCCTTTAAACAAGACACCCTACCTGTCGGCCTTTAAACAAGACACCATACCTGTCGGCCTTTAAACAAGACACCCTACCTGTCGGCCTTTAAACAAGACAACCTACCTGTCCGCCTTTAAACAAGACACCCTACCTGTCAGCCTTTAAACAAGACACCCTACCTGTCGGCCTTAAAGCAAGACTCACTACCTGTCAGCCTTTAAACAAGATACTCTACCTGTCGGCCTTCAAACAAGACACCCTACCTGTCAGCCTTTAAACAAGACACCCTACCTGTCAGCCTTTAAACAAGACACCCTTCCTGTCAGCCTTTAAACAAGACACCCTACCTGTCGGCCGTTAAACAAGACACCCTACCTGTCGGCCTTTAAACAAGACACCCTACCTGTCGGCCTTTAAACAAGACACCCTACCTGTCAGCCTTTAAACAAGACACGCTACTTGTCGGCCTTTAAACAAGATACCCTACCTGTCGGCCTTAAAGCAAGACACCCTACCTGTCGGCCTTTAAACAAGACACCATACATGTCGGCCTTAAAACAAGACACGCTACCATTCAGCCTTTAAACAAGATACCCTACCTGTCAGCTTTTAAACAAGACACCCTACCTGTCGGCCTTAAAGCAAGGCTCCCTACCTGTCAGCCTTTAAACAAGACACTCTACCTATCGGCCTTCAAACAAGACACCCTACCTGTCAGCCTTTAAACAAGACACCCTACCTGTCAGCCTTTAAACAAGACACCCTTCCTGTCGGCCTTTAAACAAGACACCCTACCTGTCGGCCTTTAAACAAGACACCCTACCTGTCGGCCGTTAAACAAGACACCCTACCTGTCGGCCTTTAAACAAGACACGCTACCTGTCGGCCTTAAACAAGACACCCTACCTGCCGGCCTTAAAACAAGACACCCTACCTGTCGACCTTTAAACAAGACACGCTACTTGTCGGCCTTTAAACAATGCACGCTACCGGCAGCTGCAAAATGTTGGCTTGCAAGGTTTAATAGACCAAACTGCGCAGTACTCGAGGAAGTGTTTTTTTTTTAATCACTGACTTAAAACATCGGCTTCTACCGCAGATGAGATTGATCTGTGACATATGTATTATTATTGAACATAAACTGTATATGGAGATTGAATAGGCACGTTTTATGGTAATACAGCGACACAGCGGCTCCGACGGCCCATATTTCATCGGCCTAAGGGCATTTGTTTCTCGTTGTCACGGACGTGGGGCTAGTCCCCCACTGGTTATTGGTCTGTCATGGCGTAACTTTAATAAAATATCATTGTTATTCAATTCTAACAAATACAAGGAATTTAAAGTTAAAGTATTTATTTACCTTTACTATTTTCTACTTATTATTATTATTATATGATTAAGGGTTTGGGAAGCAGGCTTGTTCGGACTGCTTTAAAAATCCTGCAGTTTTGGATGTCAACTTTGTTATGATCTTACAGATGTATTGTTCTATGACGTTGAAGATGTACTTTGATATGATGTTGCAAATTTACTTTGAAGTGATGCTTGAAATGTACTTTTAAAAGGATGTTAAATATTTCCTTTGACTTTTATATTGTTACATACCTTTATATAGTTTGACAAATTTAATCTGTTTAAAGATGCGGCTTGTTAGATGAACAATACGGAACAAATGGCTGAAAAACAGTATACAAATAAAAACGATACCAAAGCTTGTGATATTAACGGTATTCAATTTAATTATACTAATACATTTATATACAAATACACAATCACAAGTGCAGTAATAAAAACTATATAAACTTCAGCACAATTGAAAAAGTATAATGGTCGAAGAAACCTAGACAATCTCTCTTCCGGTTGAGAAAGCTGCCTGCTTATTTATAGGGAGGTAGTTGGAACCCTCCAGGAAAGGAGTTGCAGAAATTGCTTCTCCCGATAATATTCTTTAGAAAAAAATAGAACGTAAACAAACTTTTCCCAATCAAAGGATAGGTGGGGCTATTCCAGCGTTACATCTTTAATCGATGGCGCCAGTGTTTAAACAAACAAAAACAAAAAAAAGGGGGAGGGGACAAGTGGTTGAAGCAAAAGTAGGTCAACACACAGGCTATAACAAATATGATGTTAAAGATTTACTTTGGTACAATATTATAAATGTACTTTTCTATGATTTTTGGAGTAGTAGTTGAAAGGGATGTTGTATCAAATGTAATGTATGGTGACAAACAGGAAAAATAAACTGGTTTATTAAAATTGTTACTATGTAATCAAATAATCTATATTAATAATAGCCCAGTGGAACTTTCTTGTCCACCTCGCTCTCAATTCGCACCGTGTTGCGCTCTCATTTGCTGCTTCGCCGCCTGCGCTTGATAATGATTAATAAGACACAAATACACACGAAAGAACACATGTCTACGTCATTGAGTTTTTTTAAAAAAAGAGGTCTACCACATAGTCACATCATCTTAAGTAAGCTTATTGTCTTGTACACCATCATTGCAGTTTGTTAAAATCTGTACTGACTTAATATCTCTGTTCAACAAGGCTTGGTGGAGTGACCTCACACCAGTACGCTTTTCGTCCCTGATGAGTTTTAAAAGATCTGCTACTCCAACACGTTGAGCTATCTCTTCCACGGTTTCTCCGTCGTTATTAACTTGAGGCTCTTGGAGATCATCAGTTGTACCGAGAGTATCAGCGTTTATCAAAAGCTTCACGACAGAAATATTGTGTGCTTCTATAGCACTCATGAGTGCTGAATAACCATTATTATTTTGGTGTCTTAGATCGACTTGTGGATGTTCCAACAGGAGTTTCGCCATGGCTGCTGATCCAGGTAGATAAGTGGACACAATCAAAGGTGTCTCACCATAAAAACTGATGGCATTAACATTGGCACCTCTCTGCAGCAGAATCTTGGCCAATTCGCTCATAGATAATTCAGCACACAGCAGTAACGGAGTCATTCCCCTTTCATCTCTGGTTTCCAGGTTTGCCCCATTGTGGAGCAAACCCTGGACAATCAATGGATTCCTTATTTTACAAGCAGTGATCAAACCTATATCCAGAGCTTTTTGGGAGAACAATCTAGGCCGGAACTGAGAAAGAGCCTTCACGAGTTTGAAAATGTCTGCTGAATTTTGGTGAGTTAGCGTACTATGGAGAATTTGATCATTGTAGTGAATTGAGGTCCCTGGTACAGACTGGTCAATCGGTGACGTCATTGTAGCTGTTTCTCCTATTTCTTTTCAAATCAAACTTTTTTGTTTTTTCAAAATTTTGCATTCATATTTACTTTAAAAAAAATAAATAAATCTCATGGTTTATTTTTCAAAGTTACATTAAAACATCAACATGTTCCACCATTATGAGGTAAACAAATGAAAGGCCAGATGAATATTTTCACATGTCTTTAGACAGTAGATGCTTGAAATCCTTTTAAAAAAAGGATGATGTCACTGACATTTGCTGCACTGGTCACGAATAAACTCAAATAACGCTGTTTTTTTTGTTTTTTTTTTTGTGACCCTGCCTAAACAACTGCACTGCAGAATCTGAAAAAAAGAACAGTTTTATTTTTATAAGCTTAAAGGCAGATCCAGGTGAAACCCTCACAAGGCTGACACCCTCACAAGGCTGACACCCTCACAAGGCTGACACCCTCACAAGGCTGACACCCTCACAAGGCTGACACCCTCACAAGGCTGACACCCTCACAAGGCTGACACCCTCACAAGGCTGACACCCTCACAAGGCTGACACCCTCACAAGGCTGACACCCTCACAAGGCTGACACCCTCACAAGGCTGACACCCTCACAAGGCTGACACCACATGTAAAAATTATTAAATTGACAGCGCTTGCCCGAGTTGTTTTCATAATATATCTAAATTAAATATAAGTGCGATATACCACCAGTCAAATTTCCACTAGAACAAAGAGTCACAAGAATTGGGTGCCAAAAAAGATGGTGCCATACGAATAGGGTGCCAAAAGAATGGGGTGGAGACTAAGCCCACAATCTAGTGGGAGAACGCATCTAACGCTTTGTGACGCTTGTAGCGGGTCGTGATTTAGCGGCGTTCACTCCATAAAAGGGGGCCACCACAAAGAGGGCCATCAGAACAGAGGGCCATCAGAAGGGGGCCGCCAGAAGGGGGCCACCACATAGAGCGCCATCAGAACAGAGGGCCATCAGAACAGAGTACCACGAGAAGGGGGCAACCACATAGAGGGCCATCAGAACAGAGGGCCATCAGAACAGAGTACCACTAGAACAGAGTACCACCAGAAGGGGGCCACCACATAGAGGGCCATCAGAACAGAGTACCACCAGAAGGGGGCCACCACATAGAGGGCCATCAGAACAGAGGGTCATCAGAACGGAGTTCAACGAGAAAGAGGACCACGAGAACCGAGTGTCACAATAACAGGTTGCTACAAGAACAGTGTGCCACAAGAAAAGGGTGCCACAAGAACCATGTGCCACAAGAACAGTGTGCCACGAGAACAGGTCGCTAAAAGAACAGTGTGCCACAAGAACATGGCGTCCATTGCAGTTTTCCTAACATCAGTGGCGTAGCTTAAGTTTGGACGCCCGAAGTGGGTCATGATTTCACGGCGATCTCTCCAGTGTTTTTCTTCCACTCCCACATCCTTGGGGTTTGAAAGTTTGTAAGTTTGAAGCATAATCTATTTTTGTTCGTATCAGGAAATTTGATCGAAAGAAATTTCGTCGACGGTAAATTGGTGGACGGCACACCTGTAAAGTGTTTGGCCGGGTCTATAAAAGAATGTTAGCATGAACCCCTAAAACAGAATGTAATAATAATATCACCTGAAGTATTTACCCGACATCAAACAGATCCCGTACTCATCGAACGGTATTAAATTTAAGTATAAAAAATATATGTCTGTAACAGACTGTCGCTTAAAATTAAGAATGCTACAATAGTCACTTAACCATCACGTACAATAACAGCTCACTTCGTAGGTTAACTTAGATTTTAGTTGTAAGGAGACATATTTACGTACATCCTTTGTTTCCTAACCGAAATCACAGTCACAGGTTCCACTGAAAATAAATGGTGAAATACTATACTAATACTACATATACGTTCGGACAAGCTTAACCATTCAATCAGTCCATTTGAAGTAAGCAGGCGTATCCAGTAATAAATTGGTCGTCATATTTCAGACTTTTCAAAGATGATCCATAATTCTTCATACTATTTTTTTTTTAAAAATTCGTTTTAAGCAAATTAAAATATTGAAAGAAAAAAAAAAAAAAAAAAAAAATTCTAACTACGTATTATTTAAACACACAAAATATATGCTGTAGTCATTTCGGGTATTCCCGATTAGATTTTCTTTAGAAAACAACAAACTAAAAAAAAAAAAAAACATTTATGTTAATTCACTGCCAATCAGTTGGGTTTTTCCTTACAAAGACGCAATTAATTTTTGTAACTCTATATCATAGTTAGTTATAAATAAAAATGATGTGCTTCTGACGTCAGAGATCAACATTGATTGGTCGTCATTGAGACCGTCTGACGCTCAAGTGCCCCCCTCCCCCCAAAAAAAATATCAAAAATGTGTACAACAATATAACGATTTTATAATTTTTAAAGTTAAAAAATGAATAATTTTTTTTTTAAAAAAGGTTTTAAAAAGAATAGTATCTGTCTAGTGCCTTTAACTTTAACCGATTACAATTAGAGGAGTCTATTAAATATCGCTACGTTCGATATTTTGATGATATGTATATATATAAGGCCAATCTTGTTAAAGGCTTACAGTATTACATTTTTTAAAAAAAAACGTACTGGCCGCGCCTGATTATAGGTCAAAACTTACTCGTAGCTCCTGGCACTAATCGGTATTTTTATTCATTTATTCTTTGCAGCTTTACAAATTTAAAGACTTTTTAACACTGTATTAAATTACCTTTACATCAAGAACAAGGTCTACATTCCTAATAATAGTTCTTGCTAAGAGTTAAACATACGCTATCTATTTTCAAATTACATTCCATTATAAAAGCATTACTTTAAAGAAGGGAAGGGTGTGAATTTAATTATAAATTGTCTCATGACATTAGGTTTTAAAAAGTATTTTTTATCAGCATAATTATAAATGGACTCGATTCCATGAATGTTGAGTTATATAAAATGGAAACTTAAAAAAATTGAGATACATTTTTTTAAATTTAAGAACTTAAAAGTCACATACAAGTACTGCACATTTCATCAATTATTATTTTTATCAGCATAATTATAAATGCACTCGATTCCATGAATGTTGAGTTATATAAAATGGAAACTTAAAAAAATTGAGATACATTTTTAAAATTTAAGAACTTTTCACATTTCATCAATGCTTATTTTGAGAGCGTTTGTGTTTTCTTTAAATGTGCTACTTTTGTAACAACGTTTCCTGAATAACAGAAGTCTAAAAAAAAATATAGTCTATATAACTATATTAATTAAATTCCCATTTACTTTTGTCTTTTTAAAATGAGAATAATAAATAAACTGCCCCATCTAGTTGCACTGATTTTAAAACAATATATAATTATTTTTTTTTAGATGAGAATCTATCAGAATGCTAAAAAAAAGATTTTTTAAACTAGAAATTCAACGCCAATTTCATTTTTGTTGCCTCTTGTTTCAGACAAAATTCGTATTCCTAATTTGTCAATTTAAAATAAAACCTCTGGATTTGGGCATAACACCTTTAAAAGTATATCTAAGTGGAAATTAGTAATTTATCTGAAAAAAAGTTATAGTAGTTTGAAATTCCAAATAAACATTTCATTCATTTGAATATTGGGAAATTCATACTTTATTTTGTAAACAGCTCATGTCTTCTTTGCACGATAATGGCGTTCATATACGGTTGATAAGAGTGACTAGTTTTGATAACACATAAATATGTATTGAACTTTCTAAAAAACTTTTTTTTTTCTATTTGACTCTGGTAAAACTTGGAAATATTAAGCGAAGGTTATGAATACACGTTACTTGGTTATACGTATTTTTTTTCCATTTACGTTCAACGTGCAAAATGACGTCAGCAGTGGCTTTTTTGTGTGTGATGGAAACCATTTTTTTTTTCTTCTGAAAATTCTTTATTTTTTATGTAGTTAAGACCCAAAAAGGTTTTAAAAACAAATTTAAACCACATAACTATTTATGAAAAATATTTTCAGGTCAAGCAGGTCAAGCAGAGCCGTCAGTCCACTTTTCGAGTCAACTTTTGCCACTTTTTGGCTTTGTTCTGCCCCACGCTGCATTGAAATAGGATAAGTAAGAGAATGTCCACATGACATGTTTAAACTCCTAAAATATCCGACGCCCACTGCAGACGTAGGGGTTGCTGGGCTCACGCGATGTTTATAAGGTTACGTGATACCTACATATTTTTATTTATAATGAGCATCTCTTCCATTGCTCTCCAAGTGTAGAAATGCTGCAAACTAAATTGAAGTATTTTCTAAAATGCATTCTTGTATATTATATTTATCAAAAAATTTTATGTGGACTATAAAGATTTAATAGGCGATATTAAGCTAGGGAAAGTGTATACCCACAAGGGCACCAAGAACTGGAATGAATTTAGTTCATATCCGCCTTGTGCGGAGTTAAAGATGCCTTTGATCATTATTAAGGCTTATTTTAACACTTCCCACGCGTCAAATTTGTGTGAAAGAAACAGTGAATCCATCATGTATGCTCAAATATCCACCCAAGCATTTTGAATTTGCGCTGCTGTCTTCCGCGCCTCAATTTCTGCACCCCTTCCCTCACGCTGATCAATGCAACAATAAAGGGTTGACTATATTACTGTGCCAAATGATTGTGCATGGCACTGGCACCACAATGCCTCACAAGAACCTTAAAACTTTCCTTCCACTGATCAAAAGTCTAAGGGAAACAATGAATTCAATTGGGCTTTTAAATGCAACTTTTGATTTTGAAATAATAATAAAAAATTCTGAGGAGACCCCAGACCCCATCAACCCTCACGATGCTTCTTACTTACTTAAGCCTTTTACTCCGTCTTAAGTACAGGGCGTCTACAAGAATTTCCCATTCATCTCCGTCATGTGTATTCATTAACATGGGCACAATTACATGAAAATTGCTATGTATTCTTGTCTTGACATCGGCACAATTACAAGAAGATTGCTATGTATTCTCGTCATTGACATCGGAACAATTACATGAAGATTGCTCTGTATTCTTGTCATTTACATAGGCACAATTGCATGAAGATAGCTCTGTATTCTTGTCATCGACATCGGACCAATTACATGAAGATTGCATGCTCTGTATTCTTGTCATTGACATCGGAACAATTACATGAAGATTGCTCTGTATTCTTGTCATTGACATCGGCACAATTACATGAAGATAGTTCTGTATTCTTGCCATTGATATTTGCACAATTACATGAAGATTTTTCTGTATTCTTTTCATTGACATGAAGGTTAATCTGTATCGTTTGTTATACTGCTTTGTATTATATACATTTTCAGCGCATAAATAAAAAAAGATATTTGAATAAAGTCCACGTTTTTCAATTAAAGCAATCCGAACACAAGGCACTTACTTACTGGCGTAAAAAAAATAAAAAACAGCCTTTCAGTGAACTCCCTTATTTATAACAGAGACTTTTTAGGTCTCATCAGTCGGTACGTGGATTATTTCCGTGCAGATCTGTTAGCTCTGGATGCCAACTGGTCAGACCTAATAATCAACATTTTTTTTAATGTTTGAATTTTCATTTTAATATCATTTTCAAAAAAAAAGAAAGGTACCGCAAAAAAAAAAACACCAAACAAACAACAACATTGGAATTAAGGCTAACCTATATAAGAATAGAAAAATTGAATATTACATGCATCCGGATAGGAGGTCAGTGGGTTATTTGATCTTACCCCAACTAACCAAACCCCCCACCTAACCAAACCCCCACCTAACAAAACCCCCACCTAACCAAACCCCCACCTAACCAAACCCCACCCAACCAAACCCCCACCTAACCAAACCCCACCTAACCAAACCCCCACCTAACCGAACCCCCACCTAACCAAACCCCACCCAACCAAACCCCACCTAACCAAACCCCACCCAACCAAACCCCACCATTTTACTAAAGATGATCGTTATGATATCTAATATATTATCATCCAGCAATACTATTATTATTAGACACTGAGTCGATCGCTGTTGATTAAAGTGACCCTTACACACACCGTGGTCTTCGGGTTAGAGACGGTCTTATCGACTATAACGTCACTGTCCTGCCTAGTACAGAGATCATGTGTTAGTAGAGGGATCATGTAAGCAAATGATATAAAAGGGATCCATCCATATACAGAACTTGAGTTGTTAACAGGGGCAATGAATTTGATCAATCCATTTTTTTTTTTTTAAATTTCGGAAAACATGAGACATCTTCAGTTTATGTCAAGAGAAATAAATCAGCTGATTCATGGAAAGGATAGTTACATGACTGATGGTTCTTGGAAAGGATAGTTACATGTCTGATGATTCGTGGAAAGGATAGTTACATGACTGATGATTCGTGGAAAGGATAGTTACATGACTGATGATTCGTGGAAAGGATAGTTACATGACTGATGATTTATGGAAAGGATAGTTACATGACTGATGATTCGTCGAAAGGATAGTTACATGACTGATGATTCGTGGAAAGGATAGTTACATGACTGATGATTCGTGTAAAGGATAGTTACATGACTGATGATTCGTGGAAAGGATAGTTACATGTCTGATGATTCGTGGAAAGGATAGTTACATGACTGATGATTCGTGGAAAGGATAGTTACATGACTGATGATTTATGGAAAGGATAGTTACATGACTGATGATTATGACGAGAATAGTTACATGATTGATGATCAGTAATTTTTGAGGGATTGGGGGCAGTTTGGAGAGATGTAAACAAAACATCTTAATGAAATTCAATCAGACAAGAGTGACTCAGAGGACTGTGTCCCCATAACCGGTTGAAAGCAGATCAGGGTGTCACGTGACCAGAAAAGCAGACGCAGGAGAGACCAATGGGGGAAGACTGTGGGGCTCTCTACCACACTGGGTGACAGCAACCTTAATGACGACCACTGCCCACTGGGACTTGTCCAACCCTTCCGTCCATTGAAAGATTTTTGATCAATGCCCAATATCAAAGAATGCACTACTTTTTTGGTATTGTTAATTCGCAATATTGAGACTTTTGAAGCTTGAAAAGTTTTTAAATAAACATTTAACTGAGAAACAAGACTAATTATTTTCAATGTTTTACAGAGAATGAACTGATATCTTTCTCGGGGAGATTCGGGAAGTTCACAAATGGCGACATTTAGACAAGTTACACCACTGCTACGACATATTTCCTCTCATAAATTCACATTTCTAATCTTCACTGTTTCAAACCCCCATCACTTTTCAAAGCATCGAATTAAATCTGTACACTCTAGTCACTAGAGATAGTCTCTTTAGCTTGTTTTTTTTTTAAAAAAGGAACGACCGATGGAGAGAAATATTTTTTAGGGACTAGGTTCCCTTGTGTTCTCTGTGATGGGAGGAATGTCTGTGTACAACAGTGCTGCTTTTAGGATGAAAGGAAGACTGCTCTTTTCTATCCTGGCTTGTCTTCCTGGAGCTGCAACAATGACCTAAGAGACGGCAACAAAACTGAGTTTCTAGTGAGTGTGGTTGATGTGATGCATCTTGTGTAAATTGTAAACACTCAGGTGAAAGGTGCTTAGAGAGTATTTTATTTCTTCTAAAAACTAGAGATTTTGTCAGATATTTTATTTCAAAGAAATATTGAGCCAGCTTCACGTTGTTCAGAAGTAATGCTACGCCTAAAGGTGATAAGAAGGCCTCTGATTTGTACAAAGCTTTGACAAGTTTATAAAATGGGACCCGTAGAGGTCCTACGCTAGTAGAAACTAGTTTTCTGGCAAGAGACAAAATCCAGCGGATATCAGGATACGGATAACACATTAGTCTATGTTTAATACATTTGACAACACTAGTAATAGTATTTGGATACATTCCACTGTTTCCAAAGCTTCCTTCCAAACAAAATGTCTATTGTAGTTCTTTTGTACAGTCGTTTACATATTCCTCGGCATCAAATAAGGATCTCAGTGCACATTTGCCCCTGCTTCACGCCAGGATTTCAATTGACATCTGCCCCTGCTTCACGCCAGGATTTCAATTGACATCTGCCCCTGCTTCACGCCAGGATTTCAATTGGCATCTGCCCCTGCTTCAAGCCAGGATTTCAATTGACATCTGCCCCTGCTTCACGCCAGGATTTCAATTGACATCTGCCCCTGCTTCACACCAGAATTTCAATTTACATCTGCCCCTGCTTCAAGCTAGGATTTCAATTGACATCTGCCCTGCTTCACGCCAGGATTTCAATTGACATCTGCCCCTGCCTCACGCCAGGATTTCAAAGCACCGCTGCACCGATTGCAGTTATCAATTATGATGAAAACCCATTTTTTTCTGATGATTTATGTCACATTCCTGTTTTATAAAAATAGTTTAAAAACTCTTCTTGGTAACAATAATTTTCAATCAAAGAAAACAGCGTGGCCTCGCCATTTTCATCTTCACCATGGACATCAGCATAATTTTTAAAACTTAAATATGCAATAACTTCTGGGTGGGTGGTTTAAGATATAGGACTCTGACATGAGGGGTTCGTGATGCTTAAATTGGCTCCAGCGTTAATAAAATATAGAATAGAAGAAGTGTTGCCGTTTTAACAATGCAGTAAATTAACCATATATGTTTAAAAGACTTATGGAATGCTCTTCTCTAGTCCATGAAAGGGGGATGACTTTCCATCATGTTTTACGTCCTTAAATTTTGCACAAAGTTCTAAAAGTTTGCAAAGGAAGTCCCTAATATTTTCGTTATCAACAAGGAGTTCGATTGCTTCTAAATTTATAATTGGCCAACATTGTCTCATTTCAATTCGGAAATGAGAAGATGATGCGTAAATGAGGGGTGAGGGCGTACATCTTCGGCTAAACAAGTCTATCATTTCGAGATCCATACCATGCCAAAGTGATGTGAGCTTCATTTTCAAGCAGATATTGGGCAATCTGTGAGTCACTTTGACCTACTGCCTCGTGCAAGAAGCTGGACTGAGTTTTTGATACTTTACCATCCGAAGGGAACTTTCTGACTAAATATTGGAGAGAGTTAATGTTCTTGCTACTCGCAGCTGGCGATATCTGGTACTGGTACTCCATCCAGTTGAGCTATCTGTTCCACAGTGTCTCCGTCGTTGTTAACTGTTACCAGTAAATGGCGGTCTTCAGTTGTACCAATATTTCCAGCATTTAACAATAACTTCACAGCAGAAAACTGTTTTGCCTCTAAAGCACTCTTTAGTGCCGAATAACCATTATTTTATTTTCAAAATTACTTGTACAAACAGCCAGTAATACATAGAACAAACAGTCAGTAAACTTTGGAGCAGTCATAAATATATAGAACAAACAGTTAGTAATAAATAATAACACAGTCAGTAATATATGGAACAAAAAGTCAGTATTATATGGAACAAACAGTCAGTATTATTTAGAACAAACAGTCAGTAATGCATAGAAGAAACTCAATATTTTTCTAGGTTTAAACTGAGATAGGCACAAAATGTAATAAATACAGCGGTGAGCCGAAGCACAATGTGACAAAATACGCAAATTGATGAAAACTTAAAGAATAAATTTATTTAACACCCTATCTAAAGAAAAGGTCGTGATCTTTAGTGAATTAAAATTATTAACTGGTAGAAGGAATATTTTTACGCAGAATTTTCTAAAATTTTAAATTATATTTGAAAGGATCTGCTTGTTACACGGTGCATACCCGTCCCCCGACGAAATTTGAGCTTAGCAACCCCAGCAGGAATAATTAGCCATTGAATTTGTTTTACATTGAAACGAGGTAGTAAATCTAAAATAAACAGCGTAAAAATTGAATGGAGAAAAGAAGCAAAAAGGTATAATTTTAACGAAAAGAAAAATCCAAGTTGTAAAAATATACTAAACGTGGCCTAAAAAAAACAGAAAAAAAATCCAAATTTATTTTTACATGTTCAATCGGTTTGAAATGAAACATGCAGAGATACTCTGAAGTTGTGCATTAGCACGACATTGAAATATTTCAAATATATTCTGGTCTTTAAAATCAAGGTGGTAAAAAAAAAAAAAAGAACAAAGTGACTACATAGCTAAAGATGCTATAATTAAAGAAATGTTGGAATTTTTTGTAACCTTCACATTCGAAAAGAAAATATCATTCCTCAACAATTTTTTTTTAAAAGTCACTGTCACTCAAATCATCCTCATCTATATAAAAAATAAAATCATCAGAATCAGATGCATCGCTGTCGCAAAATTCGTAGTCTTCACCTGTCATGTTTCTGTAGAAGGATCGAAAGAGAGCCAGGCTCCTTGTGTCACTATCATCTTGAAATTTGGCACTCGGCGTGGCATCTTTGTATAACATTTGGCTCTGCACAAGGACTGGTAGTTTCGTTCTTCTAATTCGGTCATGCCTTCCAGGACCTGAGCCAATGGCCGAAGAGACAGCGACAAAACTAAGAGTCTCTAACGAAAATGGCTCCTGTGAGATTTTTTTGAATAACTTTAAACATTCTAGCTGGTTATCTTCTTTCAAATATTTGAAAAGTTTATCATTTTTAAAGATCAAAGCAATATCCGACTTTGTGAGATATCTTATGTCTATGAAATATTGAGCCAGTTCTACGTTTTTCATAAGCAAAGCTGCACCTAAAGGAGATACACCAGCCTCACATATGTACCAACCCTTGACAGGTTTCTGAAGTATTGCATCGGTAGGTCCCAACCCAGAACATATGAGTTTTGTGACAAGTGAGAAACAACCTGAAGCTATTAGAAAGTGTATAACACACGGGTGTATAATGTTGGAAAAATTAGCTTTGTGATCTAAAAGGAGATGAAGAAAATGGCTTGTTGAATCTGGATCATCCCACATCTTTCGCAACAGTCTGTCTATGGAGGTTCTTCCGTTCGCATCGTTGAGGCAAGAATTCAGGTCTGCTCCTGCATGAAGCAAATACTCTGCCGCATCATAGACTTGATATCTCATGGCCAACCCCAGCGCTGATTTGCCACTGTTATTCTTGTGTTCGATGCTACATCTTGCCCTGATGAGAAGGTCGAAAAGTTCTTTAGAGAAGAAATGTTTCACTGCACAAATAAGAGCGGTGTTACCGTTTTTATCTAAGACGTTGACATCAGCTCCATGCTTTATTAAACACTGAGTAACTGCACAATCGTCTGACATAAATATTGGACTTTGACCGTCTTCGTCAGTCCGGTTAACATCAGCCCCATTCTTTATTAAAAATTCAGTCATTTCACAATCATTGGAACTAAATATTGGACTTCGACCTTGCCTGTCTGTCTGATTGACATCAGCTCCTTCCTTTATTAACAATTCTACCTTTTGAATGCTTCCCACTTTATTTACTGCAGCTTGCAACGCTGAGCGACCTTCAAAACTACCAGCATCGACATCAGCTCCTGCGCCTATCAGAAATCTCATGAGACTTAATGAAAAATCCATTATTGTTGCTAGATTCAGTAATGGCTTATTACAATAATCAAGTTCATTAACATTGGCCCCATGCTCTAGAATCGCAGACACAACATCCTCTAATCTTTTAACCAGAAAAATTGATTCAGTTTCTCTTGTCATTTCAGAGGCCCATTTCTTTCTCAGTTGGTCATGGTATGAAGTTGAAAATACATGGGTAAGGGCAGTTTTAGCATAGAACGAAGCTGTCTTAAAATTAACATCAGCTCCTCGTTGTATCAATAAGTGTATCATCTCAGGGTCCACGGCATGCATAAGTGGTGTCATGTTGCCAATGACCAAGTTACTATTGGCACCGTGATCTAACAAAATGTTTACAGTCTCTTTGTTACATCTGGTGACAGCCACGTGCAAAAGGTTTGTTTTTTGAAGCTCTTCTCTCAACCTTGAAGGAAATTTCCGACACAGCCACTTCAAGGTTATTGTATTACCATTGTTGACAAATTTTGTTATAGCGAAGTTACAATCAAATGTGGCACCACGTTCCAATAAGATATTCGCACAACTAAACTGACGATTGTCAATGGCCCGTGCCAGTGGCGAGGTCAAGTATTGAATTCGGCCATTAACATCAAGTGTATCTACCTTAACACCAGAATCAATCAACAAACCCAATATACCACAGCGTCCCTTAGCAGCGGCTGTCACAAGAGTCTTGTTTGACCCAACAAAGCCAGAATTGCAAAGAATTTGAATCAATCTCAAATCTCCCATGTCTGCAGCAAGCTCCATCACTTCTTCTCTGCTGGCCTTCTCTTCGCGAAGACAGGAATTCCTTTCACTTAGGACTTTAACAATTTCATATTCAACATCTTTCAGGGGACCTTTAAACGTTCTCATAAACTCGGAGATTATTTTGCAAACTTTAAGCTCTTGGTCTGTGACATCGTAATGAACCAAAAACTTGACGGACTTGATGTCTCTGTTTAAAACAGCGTGGTGCAGTGACGTCACACCCGTACGCTTTTCGTGCCTATAAAGCTTCAGAATTTCGAAGAGGCCCTTCTCCACTGCCAATTGGTCTGCGGTTATGACCGCTAAGCTTTCGGTTTGACGCGAAATAACGCTGTCAAACTCTTCAGCGTCTATTAACAACTTCATGGCCAGAATATTAGTTGCGTTTATGGCACACATGAGTGCTGTGTATCCAAATGTATTTCTGTGCTCGATTTTCACGGCCGGTTGTTTCAACAAAAGTTTGACCATTTCAAACATCTCCGGTAGATAAGTCGCTAAAATGAGCGGCGTCTCTCCGTTACAATTGGTGACATTGACATTGGCACCTTTCTGTAAGAGAAACCTGGCCATGTTATTCTGAGATAACTCGATGCAGTTCAGCAAAGCGGTGTTGCCCCTTTCATCTTTCGCCTCTAGATTGGCACCGTGCTCCAGCAGACCCTGGACAGTGTGCGTGTTCCCAAGTCTACTGGCCAGCAACAATCCCTTGTCAAGAGCCTGCTGAGAAAACGACCCCCTCGGCAATTCTATGAAGCTGTTTAAAAGTGTTATCATAGCCCCGGATTCTTGGTACGTTAAAGCCCTCAACAGGAAGTTGTCATTATTTTGTCTTGATCTTGTCCCAGGGTCGAAATTTGATATGTCCATCTGGTGTCCAGCCATCGTCACACCGGTGTCTTGTACACGCCTCTCTAATCTACAACTTGCAGTTGATGTGTCGTGTCGTTGTTCATAAGTATAAAAGAGATGTTCAGGGGCGTTCCATCCTCACGTCCTTGGTTTTATCGGTAAAAGAAGTTGTTTTTAAACCTTTCATTGTGGGCTTCAAGCAGGTCTGCGCTCAGGAGGGCAACATTGCTGCAGAAAGATAGTTGACGTTTTCTTATAGTTCAAATAAAGATTAAATATAGTGCAGACTAGATCTAAATCTATCGATTGACTAACCCTAGAGGTTACCAAACATAACGCCAGGCCTACTAAAAGGTCGTGTGACTTTTTAAAAAATATTTGTGAACATTTTGTAATATTTCGCAGCACCCTTGGAAGGAAGCCATGATTCTCACAGGATGCCACGGTACACAGTTTGGGAACCATTGTGATTAACGTAATCAAAGCTATTTTGAAAAAAAAAAAAAGTTTTAACATTAGTTTAAAAACTCGTAAAGTGTATAATTTTGATCTGTGTTTTCTAAGAAAATTGTTTCATGTCTTCTGGAAAGATGTGCTATTTAAACTTCATCAGGTATATAAATAAATAAATAAATAAATAAATAAATAAATATTTATATATATATATATATATATATATATTTATATATTTATATAAGAAGATGAACATACTTACCTGGTATGTTTCATAAACAAAACTACAAGTTCCAATGAAATCGGTTAACGCTTTAATCAGTTCCTTGAAATAAGTAGACTCAACCAGCTTTGAAATAAGTAGATTCTACTAGTGTTGAAATAAGTAGATCGGCCATTTTTGAAATACGTGGACTCGGCCATTGTTGAAATAGGTAGACTCAGCCATTAATTTTTTGGTGGCCGAATTTCAGATTTTTTAAAGATGATCCAGAATGTTCTTTGAAAAATCAAAATGTGTTCAAAAATAATGTAAAATAATAAAATAAAAACAGAATTATATTTCTTAGGCGTCTTCAGCAAACTAAATCTGTAATACCGGTAGTAGATATCGGTTATTCCCAAACAGATTTTACCTTTTTTATGAAATTAATGGCTGGGTTTCCAGCCAGAGACGCAGTTTTTTTTCGTCATTACATTACTATTGCTATAAATAAACATGATGTAATACTTATAATTTAAAAAAAAAAATAACATTGATTAGTGGTCATTGGAAACATTCGAAGCTCCTCGTGCGTCCACAACTAAATCGCTCAATGACAGAGGCGTAGCTGGGGGTTATTGGTGCCCGAAGCGTGGGCCAAGATTTTTGTCGCCCCAAAACACAAAAAATGACATGTCAGCATTTGTTCGAAAATACCGCCCATTCGTACATAGAAAAGAAGTGCCGCCTGGGGATAGAACGACCCCGCCCACCAATTCCTACGCGTGCACCCACCGATGACAATACCCAGAACCGTTGGGTGGGTCCCCGTAACCCCTGCGATTGCAGGGGGCCTCGGATATTAATTGGGCACAGGGATGGTGATGTGAAAAAAAATTAACGAACCATTAACTTTGAATACAGGGGCGGCGGGGGGGGGGCACAAAACTGGAATGTTGCAAGGAGTGGGGGGGAGCCTAAGTCAGGCGATACCTCTGACATTACTCATAAGTAAAACTTATGGAGTACGAACATTGCCGCGACGATCGCTGTCGCTACCACAGCCTGCCATTCTTTCATTGACGGAGTCCTTGGCTGCACCGTTGGTGCTACAACAGCCTGCCATTCTTTCAATGTCGGAGTCCTTGGCTGTACCGCAGGCTCTACCAGAGACTGCCATTCTTTCAATGTGGGAGTCCTTGGCGGCACTTCTGGTGCTACGATGACATTAGGTTCAGTTTCTTTAGTTGAGATTGTAACACCTTCATTTTCATTGTTAGTTAAACTATTTCTACATTTCGCCCCGTTATAAACTGATGTCACATTGCGCATGTCAGGCTCAGAAATCGGATTTCGCCGTGACATCATGGTCATCATGGAGTTACGAAACTGCAATGACGCGCGCAGGTTTGAAGCGAGGACGACCAGGCAGAAACATACAACAATTTGGCACAGCGTCGTCAGAACTAACCCAGAGGTGTTTCGGACAGAATAGATGACGTCACGGTTTGATGACGTCCAGTAAATTAACCTGGTCAGGTTGTGAACCGGATCTTTGTTCCCCCGCAAGCCCTGGGTGCACAACTGGGGCATGTGTAGAGAAAGACACGCCAGAGATAGAACAGAGATCATCGCGGTGGTTTTCCCCCTTGTGAAGGTGTCTTTGAATCTGAACGGCAGAGCCACGCACCAGCATCTCAGCACCGCAATGAACGTCGTGTCAATCTGGGACACGTCGTAGAAAAAGGCGTAGTAATATGCCAGTAGCAATGTGATTGACATGCCGTCGACGTAAGAGGTTGTCGGCAGGGACTCGCTGAACAGTAGTAAGAAAGATTGTGGTACAAGTAATAGCGAGGCGACTAAATCCGAAATGGAGAGCGCGAAGAAACTGATCGAGATGCTGTCTCTGAGGCCGTGTCTAACAAATACAGCAATGTTGATGGCGTTCGTAATGCAACCAAGGGCGAATATCGGTGGTTGGATGGCCAGCCCAAGGAAAAACAGGATTGTCTTTCTAGTTTCGTCCGTGATTATATCCAACCTGAGGACAGTTGTTCTGTCTGTGGAATTCATATTGCTTCCTGAAATTTGAAACGGACAGTTTTTAAGTAATGAGTTGATAAGCGTTAAATGGTGTCTGGTGTTTGAATGCTGCCTTACATTACGGTGACGTCATACAGCGTTTTTTGTTGTTGTCAGTATTAATTTATTAAGTAAGTCGTATCTATTTAATTAATGTCTGACCAATGAGACGCGTGAGTATATTATTACTATTCACGTCTCTCAATGGGTTCAATTAGATAACAATCGTGTAGGTTCATTGCCCGGTTGTAAGGACAGGACTCGTATATAGATACTAGACAAACACATCTAGGATTTGAGAGAGTTTTTAATAAATAAATACAATTTACATTATCAATTTAACAGATTTTTAGATACCGCTATAAGAATCAAAAGAATTTTAAAAAAATAAATAAATAGCCATTAAATAAATCAGGAAAATAGTTTTCTATAATCATTGCAATCAATGTCAACCATTTATGTAAATAACAAACTTGTAATTTCCCTATTTCAAACTCAAGTTTAATTGGACAATTTTTTTTAAACACCGTAATATTGCTGAGAACTATGGTTTGGAGGTTATACAGAAACTAATTTCATACCTAAATTAAAAGAGATTGAGAGCAAACTATTGTATTATGTGGGGACATGAAGGCGTCAAAGAGCTAGAATATGTTGCAGTGCGATTCTGTCCACGACAATAATACGATACAAGATTGATCATGTTATGTTATTTTCTGTCCCCCAGTTACTGCAAACGTCTGCAGTGTATAGTTCAGATTAATCACCTGCCTCCCATGTTATATCACGCTCGTAACATAAGTAAAATAAGGACAGCTTAATTTGTAAGTCCCAAGTACGGGCAGGCCAAACAACGCAACTAATTAAAAGTTTTAGTTGTTAAACAACGCCACACAATAGCACAATTGTAAATTAATTTAACAAGGTAGAGAGAGGTCTACTATCGATTTTAAGAGTTTTCTTATGAATCAGGAAAAAAAATCAATTTCAAATTTGTTCCTTGCGTATTCACTGAGACCTTAAGTGAAATATTGAAAACATACAGAGAGGATGTATGTTGAATGAAATGTTGTTATAAATAATAACACCAGTTACATGTGATATGTAGATACACAGCCAACAAAGGGAATATTGACTTGTTAAAACCCTGGTTAAAAATCATGAAATGATTATCTTATTTATGATTACCTGAACAATTTTCTCTGATTATGTTTACCTGAATTATGATGTATATAAGAAAGCATCCTGGTTTGATGTGTTAGAACTGTGAACAACTCATTTCAAACCATATAATGTGTGTCCAGAATTCAGTCCAAGGGCGACCAGAGTACGACCTGCGTACTAGGCTGGGTACTAACCTTGGTACTAGCCTGGGTAATAACCTGGGTACTAGTCAGAGTACTAACCTGGGTACTAGCCAGAGTACTAACCTGGGTACTAGCCAGAGTACTAACCTGGGAACTAGCCAGAGTACTAACCTTGGTACAAGCCTGTGGAATAACCTGGGTACTAGCCTGAGTGCTAACCTTGGTACTAACTTGGGTACTGACCTTGGTACTGGCATGGGTACTAACCTGGGTACTAACCCGGGTACTAGCCTGGGAACTAACTTTGTTACTAACCTTTGTACTAACCTTGGTACTAAATCTGGGCACTAACCTGTATACTAATGTGGGTACCTTTCATAAGATGTTGACATTTATTTTGCTGTTCATTTCTGAACTCATGAGCAGACGGTGCAGATGAACTCGGTAATTGTGGTTGGTATGCCTGCCAACTAACTCCCGTTGTAATATTGTGTGTGCAATAAGACGATGCGGCCACGTTTAACAACTAAACATACGAAGTAAGATAAATAAGTTCATCTCTTTTAGAGCAGGGGTCTCCAAACGTTTCAACCCGAGGGGTGCATCAACTATCAAACAGCAGTTCGAGGGCCGACAACACACTGGACGTCCAAATAAAAAAAGAATCAAAACATGGATGTTGTTTTTAATTTTTATTTAATATTATTTCATTCAGTTCTTATATAAGAACACATTGATACACGACACATGAACACCTGTATTAGTTGGAATTGTGAAATTGTTTTCTGGGTGCCAAAATAGCAGTGATTAGCAGACATTTCTGGATTTAGATTTGATGTCCCCAACACCAACAGTGATCTGAGATTATAAACGGACAAATTTGTTCTCAAAATTTTCTCTTGATGCAAAAATGTTTAGGTTAGTAAAGTCTTCCTTGGGGCGAAAACTGCTAAAAACCCACCGGTCCTTCTTTGAACATGTCCCTAAGGAGATCATGTGTTTGCAACTCAATGACCTCCAGGTGCAGTTCATCTGGGCAACTGGCCAAATCTGCTTCAAATGGGTTTTGAAAAAGCCTCACTTCTTCTGCCTTTAAATCCAAGTCAGAAAACCGCTGCTGAGACACTGCGGCTGGAGGTCTTTGATGATCTCGCATGCAAATGACATGGGGAACTCCGGTGTTGCTTCAGCCATGAAGACCGTCCACTGCTGAAAGTACGTCAAGTTGTTGGCCTGTACTTGTTCCAAAAAACAAGACGAATTTGGATCTGAAGGCTTTTAGGTGGGTGTGTATATCAGAAACTAGATTTTCCTCTCCTTGTACTTTTAGGTTCAGAGCATTTAAACGACTAGTTATGTCTGCAGCAAAGACCAATGTCCAACCCCACTCTTCATCAGACAGTAATGGATGTGTCTTGCCGTTACTTTCCAGGAAGTCACCTATTTCCTTTCTTAGCTTAAATACTCTGCTCAAAACTTTCTCACAACTTAGCCATCTTATTGCTGTGTAATATGGTACATTTTGCGATTATCTGTATCTTTCAACAGGTCTCTGAACTGTCCATGTTTGAGCTCATGTGACCTTATTAAATTAACCCTCTTCATCACAGGATTCAGTACACTGCCAATGCCCACATATTTAGCAGACAAAGCTTGCTGGTGAATAATACAGTGCAGGAACATTGGTTGCAGAACTTTTTTCTCATTACACATCTGCTTCACTTGTCCAACCAAGGCTTTCTTTATGCCACTCATGTTATTTCCTCCGTCAACAGTCAGGCAACTGAGGTTAGTCAAGTCCAAGTTATAATCAGCAAATATGTTTTTTTCAACTCATCGGTCACAGTTCCGTACATGCTATTTGGGAATCCAGCTCTTGTGTTATGTTCATGTCTTCATCCACACCCCCCTAACGAACGCAAGCAGTTGAGAGGTAGAACAACTGTCCAGCGACTCGTCCATTGCAATTAAAAATTGGCGAAACTTGCTTACATTTGTCACTTTTTTAGTCACAATGTTTTCTCCCATGTCTGCAACACGGTGGGAAAAGCTCCCACACTAGATGGCGTTATTTATTCTCATTTCATTGACTGTAAACGGAAGTAGAAAAGCTAATCAGCGAATGTGGTTTTGCCAAGTAATGATCGGTTAGAAAACATAACGCACTACTGCGCGCCTCTATTTTAATTCGGTAAAAACATAACGTCCACATAAGCGGCGTCTGATCTTGGCAGGATACACGTACATTTCCGTACTTTTTTCCGTAAATAAAAAGGGGGCCTCGCGGGCCGCATGTGGCCCGCGCGCCGTAGTTTGGAGACCCCTGTTTTAGAGGATCGTATCGGATTATTTAATTTATGCTTGTAGTCTCACTGATTAAAATGTTGGGCTGTTCAGCGGCTTGTGGGGCCATCTTGTATTCATTAATCTTAAGTTTGTTTATGACTTAGACTCCGAAATAACAACGTTATTGGAGGTTTGATATGCTTATTCTTACAACTGAAGTGCCTTAATGTTTGAATCAACTGATTTCCCCCTTGCTCCCAAATCCCCATTAAAAAAAACAAAACAAAAAAAAAAAACAACAACAACAACAACAACAACAACAACAACAATCACACCAAAAAAACAACAAACTCAGCGCTGCGCAAAATTTTCACTGACTTTCAACTCCAGAAATGAGGATCATTTGTTGAGGTAGACATCTCAAAAATTTAAAATCCAATTGATTTAGAACAAGACACACAGGAGAAATCAGTGTGAGACGGGAGTAATCAGTGTGAGACAGGAGTAATCAGTTTGAGACAGGAGTAATCAGTGTGAGAAAGTAGTAATCAGTGTGAGAAATTTTATTGAGACCGTCCAAACCCCTGGGTCATTTTTCGCTGAATCTATTTGGACTCCTTCTTCCACTCCTTCCATTGCAATAAGATTTTTTTTTTTTTTTTTTTTGGCCCA